CATGGGAAATTGTAAAGGCTCAATATAAATTGTAAAAACAAAATAATAAGAGTTCTTAATAATGAAAGGAATTGCCTCAAGTAACTTCCTCGATTTCTTATTGAACAAAGTGTACATGTATTTATACTAAGGTTACATGGTGAGTTAATAAGTTTTATCTGCACATAAATTTGAAATTATGTAATGAAGTTAAGTTTAAAAATATCAATGATAAGCTAGAACCCTGAGATGATAAGTTCAAGGTTGTTGGCTAAGATGATCAATCCCTTTTGTTATGACATCTCGGTGCACCTTTGTTAAGACTAGGGTTATAGTCCTTTTGCATCCTTTGCCTTCTGGCTCCACCACAAACACCACTGTGGTCGTCACTCTTCTTACACTTGGCTCTAATACCGCTTGTTACATGCTAAGACTTTAACTCGACCCTCGTGCAACCTTAGGCCCCCCTCTTACGTCACTAAAGCACCTAAGTCAATCTATAAACCCTCCTTCCCCTTTAAGGTAAGAATGAAACAAGACTATGCAACGGAAAGTAAGCAAAAAAGAAGCGAGGAAAAAAGTATGTCGTATTCACAAATGTACAACATTTACACAAAACAAACACCCCAAAAAACCTCTGCCCCTTGACAGGGGTGGGGATGAACCCTCTCACCCCTTACACTCTCACACCACCCTTTGTTATCGTGGTAGACCCCTTTATAGGCTTAGGGAACCCTCTTACAAAATCTCACACCCTCTAATGGTTAGGAAGAGCTTTTTGCATGGTTTGAAACTCCTAGCTCGTTGGAAGACTGTTTTTACCTGTCGGAACAGTGCTGGACATGCTAGTGTGGCTAGCTGGCGTACAAGGTGTGTAGTCTAGCTCATTTGACGTGTAAGCAATCATGTTGTTGACCTGTTTGACCCTTCTGGTCAGCTTGATAGCCTTCTTCAGTCCAGGTACATCCACTCGGCTAGTGGCCTTGATGGCCTATTTCTAGTGCTCTTAAGTTTCCTTTCCTCTGGGCTTGTCACACGATGCATGACGTGTACAAGCCTATCTTTCCATCTATCTATTTTCCTACTTGCTCGATACATAACATATTGCATTTCATGATCATTTCAAGAAATTGAGACTCTTATGTCAATCTTGTTTACCAAAAATGAATTGAAAATCAAGTGATCAGTTCTGAATTAAAGCCTCCATAAACATTATGCTTCTTCATGATTTATCACTCATAGGTACTTGGGTTTTTCAAAGTAACGTTTGTTTGTAAAACCATTAACTTAAGTTATCTTCAAAAGTTTTTCTTTCAAGCATCCACTAGAGTTGATTTCACCGTAATCTTTAAAATTTGATACTGAAACCAATTTGGTTTTTAATTGTTTAAAGAAAAAAGTTGTTGGTTTCTGTGCTTCCAATATTATATCGAAAATATCTTTCTTTGATTGTTTTTGTTAAACCTTTTGTTAAATATTAGTTGACGACATGTGTCTATCACATGTCAATTGACGTGTATACTAATTATTTATTTGAAAGTTTTTTATTTAATTTTGATTTTAAAAAATCTATACTATATTAAAAATAATAAAATTAAAAAAAAATATTATGAATATGCGTATAAATGTCCATTATGTTATAACTTAAGAGTTCAGATCAAGTCAAACAGTCCAACATATCAGACATAAAAAGTATAATCTAATTTGAATTCTTAGATTTGATTATGTATATCTAAATTTGAATATAGATTAAATTAGATTAAGATTAGGATTTAAGATGTTATTATTTATACCCCTCACTTCATTTATAAATACTCTCTCAAATAAATTTTTTTTACCTTCTCTAAATACTTTCTTTCGAAGTTCTTCTTTCAAGTTATAATTCGTAATATGTTTTCAATATGATTCTCTCATTTCTCAAGTTTTAGTATTATTTAGTTTTCATCATCTCCATGTTTCAAAAAGATTTCAATGGTTGGTCTTTGATTTTTGGTCTTAGCAAATTAATCAAGTAACTTAATATCTCTTTGGTGTTTTTATTTCGTGGAAATCAACCTTAATATGAATTTTGCTATCATGTAATATTTATCATATTTTATCCCTTAGTTTATTAAATCAAGTTGATAATGAAAATATATATAATTATATTTGATATATTTGTTCTAGTTTTGGAATATGATTTTCTTAATATATCATTTTTTTGTTGAATTCTAACTATAATTTTGCTCAATACGTGTAAATATAATTTTAATACTATAAGATTTTGCATAAGACATTTTGAATTGAACATAAGAAATTAACTTTGCATGATATCTATTTTTGTGACATGTGAAAAAAACTATATTTTTGTTATTCTGAAATATGTTTTGTTATAAATTTCATGTCTTTTATGGCTGAGCAAAATAATAAGCTACTAATGAAAAATTATGAACTTCGTACACTCCTTGAAGTGAATGTGATATAATTTAATAATTGTGGTTATGGACGTGAAAGAGGTCATTATGATAATTGCAATCATGGTAGTTACACTAATCATTATTTTAAAAGACCTTTACCCAGTAGAGGTGGATAAATACTTTTACCTACCAAAAGTATCTGGATATCTTTATTCATCAAAGGTGGATGGATACTTTTACTCGTCAGAAGTGGATAGATACCTTTATTCATTAGAAGTAGATGAACAACTTTACTTACTAGAAGTGAATAGATACCTTTACTTATAAGAACTAGATGGATACATTTACCTACCAAAAGTGAATGAATACATTTACCCACCAAAAGTGAATGGATATTTTTACCTATCAAAATTTGATAAGTAGTGAAAAGATATAAAAAAAAAGAGATAAAAGTGGATAGCATTATAGAAAATGTTGTCATTAATGTGGCATAAAAGGTTATTAGTCACGTACTTGTCGTACATCGAAACATTTTTTTGAACTTTATCAAGTATTATTGAAAGCTAAATATATATATATATATTGAAATAAATTTTGTTCAAGATAATTTTAATCATGGCCAAGTTAATATCATTTAAATGTTGTTTTGTTTTCTTGTCTACCCTAAAAGAGGAATTGATCATG